ATAGCCATGACCCCACACAGGACGAGGAGGTATTCGTGACGTTGTTTGCGAGGGATACATGTGAAAGTGGACCAACTGAACGTTCAAAGACGGAGGGACTGCTGGGCGAAACACTAGGCTATGGTATCATCGATAGTGGATGTAGTAAGACCGTGTGTGGTGAGGTGTGGTACAAATGTCACTTGGATGCCATGTCTTCAGATGACGCGGAGCGAGTGGTAGAGGAGCCCAGCAGCACAACGTTTAGATTTGGGGATGGTGAGAAGGTTACTTCTCTAAAGAAAGTAACGTTTCCAGCACTGGTAGCCGGTAAGACGGTGCGCGTGGCTGCTGATGTGGTTCCCTATGAGATACCTTTACTCCTCAGCAAGGAGTCGCTGAAGAAGTGTGATGCGCTGCTAGATTTTTCCCGAGACACGGCGGTACTGTTTGACACTGAGGTCAAGCTATCTGTGACCTCAAATGGCCACTACATAGTACCTGTGGCGAAGTTTCATGTCGGTAGTGTGAGTGCCAGGCAGGACATAGAGCAGGTACTTTTTTGTTCAAAGTTTGAGGGTGCCAACGAGAAGGAGCGCATGCAAATAGCTAGGAAGTTGCATCGTCAGTTCGGTCATCCTAGGAGTGTGAAACTGCAGTCCCTGTGTCTTGATGCTGGCGTCCAGGACAAGGATTTCTTTCGCATGCTTGTCTCAGTGGAGGAAACCTGTGATGTATGTAAGAGGTATAGGAGATGTCTGCCCCGACCAGTGGTTGGTTTTGGGATGGCTCGCGACTTCAATGATGTCGTTGCGCTGGATCTAAAGCAGTGGGGACCTGGAGTATGGTTTTGCCACATGATAGATCTGGCCACGAGGTACAGTGCGTGCGTGGTAGTGAAAAACAAAGACAAGCAAACGATCCTGCGTGCAATCATGACTGAGTGGATAGCTAGGTTCGGGGCACCCGGTCAGTTCTTGTCTGATAATGGAGGTGAGTTCAACAATGAAGAGTTCCGAGAGATGGCCGAGGCGTTCAACATACGCGTGCGGACTACTGCTGCAGAATCCCCTTGGTCGAATGGGATCAATGAGAAGTACAACGGTATCATCGCCAGCACAGTGAAGAAGGTGATGGATGACACTCCATGCTCTCTCGAGGTTGCTCTGGCTTGGGCTGTGTCAGCCAAGAACTCTCTTGAGACTCACCTGGGATTCAGTCCTAATCAGCTTGTGTTTGGGCGAAATCCGAACAACCCGGCGTGTCTCCATGACAAGCCTCCGGCTCTGGGACCTCCTTCCGGAAGTGATTTGGTGAGGACACACCTGAACGCCATGCATTCTGCCAGGCAGACGTTCATTCAGAACGAGTCGAGCGAGAAGTTGTAGAGAGCACTTCTTCACCAGGTCCGTCCCAGTGGTGAGAGGTTTTGCTCGGGTGATGTCGTCCTGTACCGACGTCACCAAGATGACAAGTGGCGAGGTCCAGGTGTCGTCATTGGACAGGAAAACAAGCAGATCCTGGTGAAACATGGCGGCGTGTACTACAGGTGTCACACAAGCGCTGTCGTGCGTGACACAAGTGAGCCGCGGGAACTGACAAAGCGAGGCCGGATGTCAACTTCAGATCCGGCTCCAGGGACCCAGAAGTTGGAGAAGATCAGTAGTGCTCCGATCCCGGAGTCTGCTGAAGACTCCGATGATGATGAGCAGAACTCCGGGTCTACTTCGTGTACGGTGTCTGGGGACGCAAGACAACGCCAGTTGGTGACGGTATCACCCACTGGCGGTCTGCAAGATGTCGAAGGCGGCTGCTCTGGTTCGGAACCTGGATCGCTAGCTCAGGCTACCAGAGAGTCCAATGCCATGGACAGTGATGGTGGCTCTGGTCCGGAACCCAGTTCGCCAGCTCATGCCACCGGAGATTCCAGTGTCGTGGTCGGTGGTGGCGTCGTCGTTCGTGACAAACCCTCGATACCTCGCGCTAAGTCGCGCATTACCTATGTTCTTCGTGATTCCTCTGATTGGAAGAGTGCCACAGTCCTGAGTCGTGCTGGGAAAGCCAAAGGGAAGTACAAATCCTTTTTGAATGTTCTTGACGATGGTGATGAAGTTGGCAAATGTGTAGACTGGCGGGATGTTGATGACTGGAAGCCTTTGAATCAAGACGTACTGGTGTGCACCTCGGATGACATCATGGCGGCTAAATTGTGTGAGTTAGAAAACTGGGAAAAGAATGAGGTGTATTCCGCTGTTCCCGATGAAGGACAACACTGTATCAGCTGCCGCTGGGTGATAACTGAAAAAGGAAATCCTGATGGTAGCTCACGCATCAAGGCTCGACTTGTTGCCAGAGGTTTTGAGGAGGACACATCTGGAGTCCAGACTGACTCGCCAACGTGCGGGAAGGAGTCACTAAGGGTGGTGCTCGCCATTGCAGCCTCACAGAGTTGGAGCTGTCATAGTATCGACGTGAAGGCAGCGTTCCTTCAGGGTTCTCCTCTCGAACGCGAGGTGTTCTTGCGCCCGCCTTCTGAGGCTAACGCAGGGTCACATGTGTGGAAAATGAAGACGTGCGTGTATGGCCTGAATGATGCCAGCAGGTACTGGTACCTGCGTGTCAGACGGGAGCTCCTCGCACTGGGAATGGTGGCCAGCAAACTTGATGCGGCGCTTTTCTACTGGAGAGCTGAGGACGGCCTTGAGGGCATCATCACCTGTCATGTGGACGATTTCCTGTGGTGTGGTTCCTCAAGGTTCGAGAAGGAGGTGATCGAGAAGCTGCGGCAGGTCTTCCTCCTGGGTTCTGAGGAATCTGAAATCTTCAAGTACCTTGGGCTGCACATTCACCAGCAGTCTGATAAGGTGATCAAGGTTCACCAGATGCCGCAGGCTGAGGAGCTGCAAGAGCCAAATCTCTCACCAGAGAGGCGAATGCAGAAAGACAGTGAGCTCTCTCCTGCAGAGCTTACCCGCCTCCGTGGCGTGACAGGACAAATCAATTGGCTGGCCACGCAGACAAGACCAGATCTTTCATTTGATGTTTGTGATCTCTCTTGTTCCATTAGGGATTCAAAGGTAGCTGATCTACAAAGGGCTGCTAAGGTAGTTCGAAAGGCTCAGTCGGCGCGAGTTAGTCTGAAATATCCTCATCTGGACTTGTCACAGAGCTCGTTGGTAGTGTACAGCGATGCGAGTTACGGCAATCTTCCAGATGGGTCCTCGCAGGGAGGATACGTTGTGTTCCTTAGAGACAAAAGGGGAAGATGCGCGCCACTTGCCTGGTCTTCAGCAAAGATCAAGCGCATTGTGAGAAGTACGTTGGCTGCAGAGTGCATGGCACTTCAGGATGGTGCTGATGCAGCTGTCCTTTTGGCTGCGCTGATTTCTGAGGCACTGTATGACGGGTCAGGAGACATGAGTGTGATGTGCTATATAGACAGCAGAGGGCTGTACAGGGCACTGTACTCGACCAAGGCGGTGCAGGACAAGAGACTTCGGATTGACATAGCCAGGATTAGGCAGATGTTGGAAGTTGGCGAGGTGACCAGGGTCTGCTGGGTCGACAGTTCTCAGCAGCTGGCAGACAGTCTGACCAAGAGGACGGCATCTTCCAATGCTCTGTTAGACGTGCTGAAGACGGGTATTCTGTGAATCGGGTTAGGTGTCACTATGAGGATGACTACGGTATCGTTGTTGAAGGAGGTGTCGTTGAAGACCTGTTTTGTTGTGACTCGCGTATTGAACAAAAAAGATAAGGGGATGATTGTTAGTTTAATTGTTTACATTCCTGGTGTGCTGTATATGTATACGTAAATGTGCACGGTCTTGAGCATGCGCATGTGTCTCTGGTTTCCGCATGTGTTTGGCATGTGCATGTGCATCCCGCGTTATGCATCCCGTGCTATGCCTTACTCATACTGTCTTCATTTACCTTTCAGTTTGTGGTGGGGCTTAAATAAATGCACGCTCAAGAGATATTGATCTTTATAAATTGAACAAGGTGTATTTTCTTTTTGCAACCAAAGAGAGGCGCTGCCCGGAGAATGCCCAATTTCATCATTAAAAAACTGGCTTACGATGACCAGCTATCTTCGTGGCTTAGTAGTAAGTGTGCCGAGTGTACCCACGTCGAAAACTAAAGGTCGCTGGCTCGCAGCGGGTCAGCCTGAAGTGTTCAACACGCATTTGTTTTTTAAGTAGCATCTGGCCAGCCGGCAACTGTCGCGAGGGCTAATGTTCGTACCTATAGGTAGCATTTGGCCAGTCGGCAACTACCGTGAGGGCTGTACATATTTACGCGTGTTACATTAGGTCAGGTCACGTCAGGTCAGGTTAGGTTTGCTTTGGTTTGGGGTAGAAAGAGGCATCTCCGGGTAGCGCCTCTCCTTGGTTGCTAAAACGAAACACGCGAGTGCCAGATATTACGAAGTCCAAAAGACAGTTACGTAGACGTCGGCCCATTCTGGATTTTTTATATGATGTAGCAAATGTATAGGAGAATAAAATATGTAAAAATCAGCAAAATCGAAGGGTACCCATTTTTCAGAAAATCAAAATTTATTTTTTGAATTTTAATTAAGTTCACTAATTAGTTATTTACGTCAATATTGTTATCCTCAAATTAAAGCCTGACCTATCCCCTCCATTTCACACTTTGTCTGGTGGTGATATGTCTAAAATGTCAATGGTTATGGCGCTTTAAAGATGATAATGTCCCTTGCCTAAGTCAATGTTTGATGACGTGTATCTCGGAAACGTGACGTCATATCTTGACAAAAATATGTCTCCTTTCTTTTCACATGTAGATGAGTAGTTTCACAAAGTTTCGCAAAAATCGGAGGAGGTGAGGTTCAAAATGATCATTTTTTGTCCCACTTGACGTGGAATGCCCCAATGTCCAAAAGAAAAGTATAAACCAAAATATATAGAATATGTAACCTTCATCTCATACCGCATGACCGCTGTCGTTCCCGCCAGTCCCTGCTTCCCCGTTGCTATGACGATGCTCTTCTCATCCAGGGTCTGCGGATCGCACCGCCCGAGGCGCCGGCCACGGGCTACATGTTCGGAAAGGGCATCTACTTTGCCGACATGGTGTCCAAATCGGCCAACTACTGTTTCGCGTCTCACACCAACCCGCGGGGTCTGCTCCTGCTCTGCGAGGTGGCGCTGGGAAACATGTGAGTACGCAGCTCCCAGGGTCGTGACGAAGAGCGTCTGTTAGACAAGAAACGTCTATTTGGTATAGATTTGATTGTTGTTGAGAATCATATTATCTGTGATCTGTGATTTGAGTAAATTATCTGTGATATCGTGTCGTTCTTTCATACACGCTGCGTTAATTGCGTGGGTATCGATGATTCATTTGCTTTCACGAAAACGCTGTCATTCAATTTGATAAAAGGTTATTATATTTGTGTTTGTTTCCTTCTTTATACGATAAACTTATAACGATTATGTTCATGATTTTGTGTCGTTGCTTTCAGGTACGAGAAGAAACATTCCGAGTACATCACCAAGCTGCCGACCGGAAAACACTCGACCAAGGGTCTGGGCAAGACGCACCCGGACCCGAAGGAGGTGAGTGTTTTGTTCTGCACGTAGGTCCGCTCGCTCGGACCGGATGGTGTGGGTCCCTGTGTGTTTGTGGTGACGGTTTGACGGTAAGCTGTTGAGTCTAAACGTTATTTTGTCATCGGTCCGATCATGAGATATATCCTCGTTGTCATCCTAAATCGTCATCATCAGCTACCAATATAAGATATTTGGACAATAAGTGATGATGCGTGATTATTGTTGGGCGAGTTTGGTGTTTCAGCTTAATTGTTTTTTTCAGCTTAATTCAGCTTAATTGTTTGGAATGAAGGTGTTACCAAACTCGGGGTGCACTGAGCATAGCTTTTATGCTATGAACTTTTATTCCGACCGGTCGGAAAATTTGTAGTTTTAAGAAGATCGTCTATTTATACATAGGATGAACCTTCGTGAACATTTCTCTTCGAAAACATGAACATTTCAGTTTCCCGATAGTTTTGCTTTATCAAGTTTTTCCCAGTGTGGAACAAATACTTTGATGCCTCCCGTATTGCAATCTACGATCACCAGAAAAAAAAAAAACGAACTAACTATTCGAACGACATTCGAAGGTGTATTTTATGAGACCCGTTCTGACTGCCGTTATCGCCCTGTTTCAGTCTCACCTGCTCGAGACGAAGGTGGAGATTCCGCTGGGAAAGCCGACCAAGTCGACGGCCTCGGACACTTCGCTGCTCTACAACGAGTACATCGTGTACGATGTGGCGCAGGCGCACATTCAGTACCTGCTGCAGGTCAACTTCAACTTCAGACGCTGAGGCGACCACCCGTGAGCTCCCTGGCAGGTCGGACACGGCCGCTGGAGGCTGACCGTGGTAGGAGGGAACGGGGAGAGAGGCTGTGTTGTGGGGCTCCTTGCGGGAGGGACCGGGGTCGCTGCCAAGCTACGGGTGAAAGCTGGATTGTCTTTGAGCTGGGAAACATTAAAATGGTCATGCTTTTCTGAGAGGAATTTTGGGGGAGGAATGAGTACCATGAACGTTCCAGCGGCTTTGCAGTTCAGAGGGATTGGCCGTTGCGCTGAGTGAGGGCTGCAGAGGAGAGAATTAGGTCAAAGGAGTGACGAAGAAGTGCCGTTGGGGAGACAGACGAGGAAATGAGGTGTAAACAAAAGACAAAGCAGTCCCCTCAGAGCGGCGAGGGGTGAGAATTTGGCGCTTTTCGGAAGTTTATCGCATGGATCGGCACTATTACGTGCCGCTGACATTGCTCCAGTAGTTAATCCTCGCTTTTGGCTGAAAATCAACCGCTTCCTTGGATTTTAGAATACAGACTGTGCTACTTAATGTTAATCAAGCAGTGTGTAATGAAATGACTATGCTTAACAATGGGTAATCTCTCGTCCTAGATATTCCTTTTCACCAAAATGAGCCCCAACAATCAATGTGCAATTATTTGTGCCTTCACTCCCTATTCCTTTCCTCCCTGGGGTGCGCTTTGTTCTTGCCTGTGACTGATGGCCTACGCAACATTACCAGTGTGGAATTTCACAAATGTGTTGGACTGGTAAGTCCGAGTCGTGAGCGGAAGTGAACTTCTCACATGTGCTGTGGTTCACTTGCAATGTTTGCAATGTGTTGTTACTGCGTTGACTGGCCGCGAGGCCTGGGCGGCCGGAACGATCAGTATGTCGGCAGTGCCCACCCAGTGATGGCGATAACGTTCCTGGCTGAGACGGTCTCATTTTCGGCTGCGGCGCAGTTAAGTGTTGGCGCACGGAGTTCAATGTGTTGGGAAGAAGCTTTTGGTGTATGTTTTTGGCATCACGCTTGTCGGCCCATCCCCACCTTTCAGTCGCCCTTTTTCGAGTTCGTGTAGGGCACCATGCTTGTAGAGTGATGAATATACGTTTTCATAAATAAAGAAAGTTTTTATATTTGAAGGAAAAGGGAGAAATCTGCAATTGCAGTGACCTTTGGGTACTAAGATTCAGCGCCTTATTTAATTAATATATTTTTTTTAATTGACAGGTAGACTTATTTCCATTCGGGGTAGCATAACATTTGATAACACTAGGTTATTTCAAAAGACACTTTTTGTTTTACTATTTCCAGCATCGGTAACAAAGGTGATTGACTTCACCCTGAGGAGAGAGCAATGACACTTGTGTTATGGCACTGTGCGAGCTAAATGCATGTTTAATGGGAAGAATTCCTCGTCTATGCGTTAGCTGTAGCATGCTGTAGTTTTGTAGTTTGTAGTTTGTCATTGTGACGAGGAGGCCTGCAGTAGGTAGTTACGAAACCTTCAATTATAATGGAAGTCTCCCTCTGGTGACTCCAATGTTCACTCATTCAACATGACTCCGTCCTCATTACAGGTGTATTCATCGACTCGGTTACCCGTCATCATTGAGCATCTGAATCGTAAATGCTCGTATGATACCCTTCAGGTGCAGTCTACCTTGCGCCCATTGTCATCCACATAAGGCACCCGTTCTCGCGGCTACACACCTGTGAAATAATCTTCTTTCGCCTCGGTAGCAGTTGAAGAGGACTCATCGTCATGGTAGCTGTCGTGCACGTACACGATCCAAAACGTCACACAGAACACACAGAAGAACACCGGGTACATCATCTCGACACACTTCTTCACGTAGTCGGACCACGTGAGCCAGCGGTACTCCTTGCGGATGCTCCACATGCTCTTGAGCAGCGACTGGACGCTCCACTGGGATCCCTCGTCGTCGTCGAGTTCCTCCTCGACGGGTCGTCGCCGGGCCGCGTGTCGCTCGTGCGCCCACTGGTAGAACTCTGACCACTCGACGCGCTCGCCGGCGGGCGACTCGCCCGTCTCGGCGTCCCAGAAGAGGTCGTCGCCGTGCCAGGTGGACTGGCGCCGCAGCCGGTCCAGGTCGAACCCGTGCCGCTCCGCCATCGCCGCCGGAGACGTGGACCGACGACGGGCGAAACTGAAGCGGCGCGGCGCGTTCTCTGTGGTGAGCGCCCCGCGACGCCGGGTGGCGCGCTGCCGCTCCTCGCGGTGGCTCTCATCGGCCAGCTGTCTGGCCAGCTTTGGCTGCCGGTAGAAGAATAGCACGTCGTCTACCGACTCTTGCTGTTCGCGCTCCAGGCCTCGGAACGCGTACCGGAGGTCCAGGAAGCAGGCTACCACTGAGAGCCAGACGAACGTCAGCACCGAGAGCATCCAGACGTCGATGCTGCGCACGACGCCCGAGTGTGGCACCGTCTTCAGCTGGCGCAGCAGCTGCACTGTGCAGACCAGGTTCAGGAACGAGAGCAGCACACGACCTTCGCCCAGCTCGTCGGGAAGATAGAAGGAAATCCAAGCGATGATTACCATGAACAAGCCGGGAACGAAGATCAGGAGGACGGCGTGCGAACTTTTCCGGGACACTTTGACGACGACGGACAGGCGAGAAACTTCCCTGTAGCCTAGTGACTTGTAGCGCACGACTGACTGATGTCTGTAGGAAACTGCCACGTTGAATCCTGACGTCAAATGTCTATTGGCAACTGAAAACGCTCCCGTGTCCCAGTGCAGCTCTACTGAGTAGTTTTGTGCCTGGAATGCACCAAGATACCATGTGCATATATGCACATCGAGAGGATAGCGTTGCAACGACGTTTCGCACCAAAGTTTCGTTGATAGTGTCTGTCGAACACTGAAGCCCGTGGTAGCATTCATTTTTACTGGATCTGTAACAGGTGAAGTCTGAAATGAATGAGCAGACTGTGAAGAAGATATGAAGAGTTGCGGTATCCACGCGGGCTGGCGCGACTCTGTAGCACCATCCGAGCTATTTTCAGACCTTGCGCAGGGATTCAACACCGATGTATGAGACGCGTTCCATTCGATTTCCAGGGTTGTGCGTAGAGTAACGAAGTGAACGTCGTTAGTGGCAGAAATATCCTCCAACTGTCCCCTGATGTACACAGGGAATGCATGTGGGCATCGGGCGATGTTCATATTTTCTTTGTGCAAGTCTTCGCAATCCAGTCTTTTTGCAGTTTTCGGTGGCTGTGATCCGCAGATCAAGGAATCTGAAGGGGCTTCTGAGGATCGCACATTTGTCTGAACAAGTGCATTTGTAAACAAAGCTGCCTGGACAAAGTAAAGGAAACACCACATTACATTCATGCATGGTTGTAGGCCGCACAGACACTGCGGAAAAGCAATGAAAAATGATTCAGACTCTACACACTCATTGCCTTCATGAAACAAACTTACGTTACATCCGTTACATCATATAGGGCGTTGCGTCACATCAAAACAAATGGAACAACGAAATGGCCCAAAAAAGCTTTCGTTTGTTTTCAAATGAAGTTGGTCACGATGTGTTCCGTGCATGGCACCTCTGACGCACAAAGCTGATGCCATCGGTATTTTATCGCCTTGATCCCATCTTTCTATGCGCATCGACGCAGCCAAACTTCCTCGAATAACCTGTAACTTGTCTTACCTGGTGAATAGTAGCGTCTCGGCAATGGCAAAATGACTTAGCTTCAGCTATCATTTATTTATTTCCTAAATCATAGATAACATGAATCGTTGGAAACGGCATGGCCTGGGAGCCTTGACAGTAATTGCAAGACATGATTCGGTTCAAACTCGTGTTTTCTATGTTGTTAATTGGTGGGACATAACCGAGGGTTTACTGCTCAATAGTTAGGACATGTTTCGTTAGAATTGTGTTTTTTTCTATTGAAAAACAAATCTGAGTTCCCTGAAAATTTTACCATTACCATTCCTTCGAGGAAAACATACTGGCGATTCACATGCTGTTATTTGCGACTGATTAAATTCTCTGATTTTCAAGAAAGCTTCATTGCACACAAAAAACACGCAATTGGTGAGCCCTCTAACTTCGCCACACCGTTCTGATCAAAAACACGACTTACTCCGAGGAACCGGCAAACATAAACTGATTTATGGTTTGTAGTGTATTCACACGTTTGATCTCGATGGAATACGCTTTCGACGCGTGACGAAGTGCACAGTATTCATGTAAGAAAAATATGATTGCGTCTCAGAGACAAACATCAATGCAGGATCCTTGATCCACTTACAAAACATTGCAACACGAACCTAGTACAAATGTCATCTTGCGCTCCACAAACAAAAAGGTGAACATCTACCAACTATATACGAGCATGGGTCCAATTTAAAAATAGACACATTTAGGATGTTCACAAACAATTCCAGTCATGTGCTGGATTTCCAGCTGGGTAGGAACGAACGTAAAGCGTACATGGACATTTGACAAATTTACAGAGAACTAACGGTAGTTGGCACCGAAACGTCATTTGTTCCCATCGTCCCTTACCTTACAGGTCTTTCAAGTTGCCTTTAAGAAATGCTGCGACATAAAATGTCGGATGGAATCGATACCTTTGTGGCTATCTCCCTTCACATACGCCTTACTCCACACTGCGAAATGGCTTACCAACCTATTACACAATACACATTCAAGAGATTGCATTAAAAACATCAGCGCCGTCTCGCCGAAAACGGCCGTAGATTCATGTGTGTCCACATGGCGTCATTAGAGCGGCAGTGGGGGATGGGCGGCGGTGGGCGGACCGCGAGTGCGAGCCCCGGCCGGCGTCAGACCCAACCCGAGCCGGCCGGGCCGCCCGTCAGACCCAACCCGAGCCGGCCGGGCCGGCGTCAGACCCAACCCGAGCCGGCCGGGCCGGCGTCAGACCCAACCCGAGCCGGCCGGGCCGGCGTCAGACCCAACCCGAGCCGGCCGGGCCGGCGTCAGACCCAACCCGAGCCGGCCGGGCCGGCGTCAGACCCAACCCGAGCCGGCCGGGCCGCCCGTCAGACCCAACCCGAGCCGGCCGGGCCGGCGTCAGACCCAACCCGAGCCGGCTGGGCCGGCGTCAGACCCAACCCGAGCCGGCCGGGCCGGCGTCAGACCCAACCCGAGCCGGCCGGGCCGGCGTCAGACCCAACCCGAGCCGGCCGGGCCGCCCGTCAGACCCAACCCGAGCCGGCCGGGCCGCCGCACGGGCGCAGTGCGCCCCGACCATAAATAACCAGTTGAGCCAATGAGCGACCACGCGCTGCGCGGGTGACGGGAGAAGAGAGCGCACGGGGGTGCCCGCCGATGCGGGACGCACTCGGGGGACGTCAGACACCGTTCGACCGCTATCCGGCCGCCGGATTATGTTCGTACAGCTGCTCACACCGCTCTAGCAGCTTCAGGATCGGCGTCACGTTGTACGGAAACAGATCACGAGCCACGAGCTGCTGTAGCGAAATGCGCAGTCCAATCAGCACACCCATCACCTCTTGTAACTTAGCGCCGCACGCGCGCAGAAATCTCGCCCAATGTTTCCGCACGAACTTGAGGTAGCGCAGCAGGTAGAGCAGGAAACATGTCTCGTTCGAGATGAGAAAATCGAGCAATAGGTCGTGGTCCCGGCGCACGGTGCCCAGAAACTGCACGAAGCTCCGGTGCGCATCGATGGCGCGCTCAAAGTCGGGCTGCACGCGCGCCCGCTCGGCCAGGCCGGCGCAGAGGTCCAGCAGGCACACCATCGCCTCGACCAGGTAATCGTCCTGGTCACAAAGCAGCACCACGGCCCACTCGCTCATCGGCGTCTCCGGGTGGAACGGCAGGCGCGCCTTCACCCAGCCGTCCAGCCGGCGCACCACCTCACGTAACGTACGCTCTATAATCACCATGTCCTGCTCCTCTGATCCGGAGCCGCCGGCGGAGCGTGCCGACGCCTCGCTGCTGCTTTCACATCGCGTCTCCTTCACCGTCACCGCCAGTGCCTTGAGCACGAGCAGCACAGTTTTCTGCATCAGCGGCCGGTCGCCGCCGCTGCCGCCCGCGCTACCGCTACTGCTTCCCGCGAACGCACGCACACCGCGCTCGTAAGGCACCGCCTCTAGCAAACGACCAGCGCGCGTTTGTCGTAACAGCGCATGAGCCAGTCCGGCTGGCTCCTCAGCCACACAGTCCTGCAGCGCAATCGTGCTGCCGTAGCAGAGCACCTCCGCGTAAAGATCCAGCACGGCACGCCACACGTGGGGAGAGGCATCGCCCCCGAGCGAGCTCATCAAGCCCTCCAGCCGGCCGTAGAACGACTTGGTCTCCACGATACTGAGGTTGTTCTTGACGGAGATGATGGTTGTCCAGAGCCGGAGGAAGGCGAGCACCTCAGTCTCGTGTGCAGGCCGCGTCAGCAGCCGGCAGAAGCGCTGTGTCACCGGCACCCAGCGGTTCTCCAGCAGCGCCGTGATGGCACATTTAATCTCGGAGAGTGTCTCCGGGTCGGGACCGACGCTGATGGCCGCGCAGCCGGCCGGCAGCGGGCGGGCGCCGCCGGCCGCCGACTCGGGCGGATCATGCTGCTCGATTAGCCGCTGCAGCGCGTTCAGCGCATGACACACCTCGAGCTGCCGCTCCGACTCGAGCACGGCGGCCACCAGGGCCTCGAGCAGTCTCTGAGCGCGGCCGGGCGGCAGCAGGAGAGCGGCCAGCGTCAGACAGCGGCCGGCGCCGCAGCTGAGTAGTGCCGTGCCCGAGGCGAGCAGGGCCAGCAGCGCCTCCAGCAGCCGTCCGTCCGCCTGCCGCTGGGCGCAGACGGCGCGCTGCAGCTGCCGGCACATACTGCCCAGCCGCAGCTGCTGCAGCGCCGCTTCCTGCAGCAGCTGCAGCGTGCTGAGCGCCAGCAGCTGCCGACGGCTGTCGGCGGCCGACAGCTGCGCCGTCAGAGCCGTCAGCTGCGCGGCCGGCAGCGGGCACAGGCAGCCCAGCTGGGCGCGCTCGTGCAGCGCCGCCAGCGGGTCGTCGAGCCGCGGAGTCGGGCCGGGGCTGGCGAGTCGCGGCCGTTTGGCGGCCGGCCCGCCGCCGCCCACGTCCAGTCGACTCTCGGTCATGTCGGTGCCGGCGGCCGTTCACCGGCCAGTCGGCAGCAGCCTGAGCGAACAGAGGGCACAAAAGTCAGAACAGCACAGCAAGGACCCAGTCGACAGCAGCCTGAGCGAACAGAGGGCACATAAGTCAGATTAGTACAGTAAGGACTAAGGCGGCAGCATCCTTTGCGAACAGCGGGCACAACATAAGTCACAACAGGACAACACGGACTGACACGGCAGGAATCCTGACCAGACAGACAGCCGTACCCAGCCGACGCACCGTCGATAATGTTGACTTTTAGAAAACGCGCAAACATCAAACAGCGCGAATCACCACGTCAAAACAAACGATAATAGAGATGCAATGCATCCAATACATTAGACTGTAAAGGACACAAAGATTCAGACTGTGCGCAGACCCAGACAGCTGCAACTCTTAATAAAGCCAATATGCTTGAAGCAAAATTATCGATGCGCAACAAAGATGGGCAATTACGGATCAGATGTTCATGGAACGCGTAATTCACACGGAATAACGTGAAACATTAACAAGCCCTCGAGAATTTCAGACACTCAAGGTCGTACCGACCTCCTGCCTCTGGCCGCCAGATGACAGCTGATTGGCGGGTCGATTGGTCTAGCGCCCGAGGCGGCCGGGTCAGGGGTCAGGTCGGCCGCCAGCTGATTGGTCGCGGCCGAACAGACTACCGCCCGGGACGGTCGAGTCGCTGGAGCGCTGACCTCTCCCAGTGCGGTCAGGGGAGTTGGTCACGCAACGAACGTCGGGTGTGCCGCGAAGTGAACTTCAGTCGGCCGCTTTCAGGCACTTTTATCACATTACTGCTGTGTTAGGCTTAGCTACTGAATATATGGAACTGCAGAGAAGAAACAATTCACTTCTGCCTGGCCACCATAAACAGCATACGAGGTAAGGCTGACCTCTTACATCCTTTTATTTTTCCCTCACTTTTTTTTAAGGGAATAAATGCGATACACCAGTGTCTACCCATTCGCAAATGAACGATCAGTCTCATTTGGAAGAGGTTGCTCAGTGACTATGGTCGAATGATGCATTACAAATAATGTCTATCATATTGCAAAATGCGCAGCTTTCAATTGGACACGTTGATAAATGCACGATAAATAGTTTACCTGGCGTGTCAATTTTGGCCATATGTGCCGATCGGTATTATCAATCAGCCTTTCATTCGTCTCACGTCTGACAACCCGTCACGGCCTGAGGGTTGTTCCGTGTTCATAGCAGGGCGTGTTAATTGGTTACATCAGAATTATCCTGTTCGGTGGCGCAACAATAGCAGGCTCTAAATCTTGCTTATTTTCCTGGATGGTGTCTGGCCACATTCTAGTATCCTGATTTGTTTCTGTTTACATCAAAGCTGAAATGCTGATAACCCTAATACGTGTTTGTATCACGCTACCGGACGGGCCAGCTCTGCAAATAAAATGGCTACAGCTGGACACACTGGACACGGACAGCCTTCAGGCCATGGGAGAGCTATTGGTGATTGTAGTGCGCTGACATCACAGCATTTGACCTTTTAGTTGGCAGAAGTGGGCAACAGGAGCTGGGGGGACACAGAGAAGCTCACTTGTCCATAAACCACTTACCTGATGTATAAAACAGCAGCAGCAGGAGCTCACAGCGCTTACGCGCCATGTCTTTCTTGTACAGTGATCATTTGGTCCCCAGTTGTCCAAAGTGAGCTCTGGGTTAGAAGTACCGAGTAACTTTTAGACTTGACAGAGATCGGTTACAAACTACTGTAAATGCATAGCTGGCTGCGCACAGCCTGTATATTGTATGATTTACCTGAAACACATGAAAAGACACAGGGTAAGACACAAGGTACAAAATGTATGTTTTTTTATGTCAAAAAGGTGATCAGTCACCATAAATAAGTTATTATCTGAATATCCATGATAAAGTAAAACATTGAAAGGCTCAAAAACATCAACAAACTCAATGTACCGGGTGTTCCGAAAAAAGTGTCACGATTTTAGTCACGTGCGATTTCCGTAAAAATTGTCCGAAATAGTTTGGCTTAAGATATGTTGCTCACAACCCTTGTCGATTTTGGTGGACAAAACGGTTCACCAAAATCTACGATGGTTTTCTCGCCAGAACAAAAAATCAAAATCGTCCGATTATGGTTCGAGACGAAATCGTACGTCACCGTCCGCCGCCGACTTCGACGCGAGTGTGACATGGAAACTCGAGATCTGCCCTGCAACAAACTCATTGCAAGGTTTGTTAACCATTTTGAGACAACAGGTTCAGTCCTGAATACTCACAGGGGCAGCAGCGGCAGGCCAGCATCGGTTTCAAAGTCCCCAGAGACCATCGCGGCCGTGCGAAATTCCGTCATTGCCAGTCCCAAGAAGTCGCTCCGTCGACGCTCTCAACAGCTCGGACTTGCTAAAACCAGCGTAAGACGCATCCTATGCGACGAGCTAAAACTGTCATCGTACATAATATCCACCAGACATAAGATGACGGATCGGGACAGGCAAAAGCGGCAAGTCATGTGTCAATGGATCTCCAACAAGATGGAGAGGAACGCGCGGTGGGTGAACCGAGTCTGGTTCTCAGACGAGGCTCACTTCCACCTGAACGGTGCGGTGAACAACCACAACAACACTTTCTGGGGTAACTCACCACCGGAAGAAGTAACGGAGAAGCAGCTGAAGGGCCCGAAGGTCACTGCCTTCGTGGCCTACAACGCCACTCACGGCCTCCTCGGTCCCTACTGGTTCGAAGAAGATGGCCGGACCGTCACCATCAATGGCGAGCGCTACCGCGAGGTCATCCGGGAATTCTACGCGGATCTGACCGATATGCTCACCGATAACCAACTGCAACAGGCATGGTTCATGCAAGACGGAGCTCCGCCTCACACTGCGCGTGCGAGTATCGAATGCCTTAAGGAGCTGTTCAACGCTCGCCTCATGTCTCTCGGCACCGCCCATGAGTGGGCTCCCCACAGCCCTGATCTCAACCCGCTAGACTTTTGGCTGTGGGGGGCTGCCAAGGACACTGTGTACGCAGGCAAGCCCAAGACACTGGTCCAGCTTAAGCAGAACGTCGAAAGATACCTGCATCAAGTCGGTCCCGAGACTCTGACGAAAGTCGCTGAGAGTTTCCAGGCCAGAATCAAGGCGTGTCTCAACCGCGGTGGTGCCCATATCGAGAACGTGAACTACAAGAAGTTCGCGTAAACTTGTGATCGCAGGAACTCCTCTGCCCTCTGGCAAGGAGTTATAGCACTGATACGAGAGTAACCTTGTTGAAAAACGACAAACGTGAGCTTTCATATGGTGTATGTTTTAATGCGTTAATACTTGTCAAGCGTTTATAATACACGTTTGAAACTGTGACACTTTTTTCGGAACACCCTGTATGTGTTTGAAGGACACACAGCTTATGTCGAAGTTGTGAGAAACATCCCCCCCCCCCCAGATGTGGGCAATGAACAGCCTGACCCTCTGCCACAGCCTGCTACCCAAATCTTATCTACCTGATCTACATTAGAGGCTAGGCTAGAGTTGATAATTTTTAAAATAATTTTCCACTTTTCATTGGCCTGTTGTGAGACATGACTGTAACATTTTTTGGCACAAAGCAAAATATGCAATGGCAAGAAAATACAGTGACTATTTTTCAAGTCATCCCTTCAGGCTTCAATGGAATCAAACTAAAATAGACATTGCAATCACTAAACTCAAAACTTCATAAGCAAGCTCCTTTTGCATTTATGGATTTGCATTTCATATGCATTTGGCTTTCATATGCATTTATGGATATACTTAAGCACACTACACATACAGCACTATATGATAATATAGAATCTGACTACTTGGATTGCCATTGAACATGGCAGGCATCTTTCCACATGCAGCTGTTTGGTATCTATTTGTCCTTTTTGACAGGGCCATTGTGATATGTTGTTTCCAGATACCTGCAAGTATGTCTGGTATTGGTGCTCAGTTTCCATGGAAACAAACAAAATTGCAAGTTTTACTTACATTTCCATATGACCTGAACATCAAGATAAATATTAACTTTAGGACCGACTCACTTTTCAACAGTAAATTTTACACATTCTTCCATTTTTTGATATCCTGAATCCAGATTTAATACTTAAGATGGTCTGATGTCACCAAGATATCAATAAAGATACATAATCAAACCTTACCTAACCTGACCTACTGATATTTGCCTACCTGTGGATAAGGAAGATGTTACTCACATGAATAGATTGCAAGCAATAAGTCATATATTTTTGGGTTAAGTGGCTGTGGATCAGGCTTTAGGCATTTGGCCTAAAGCCAGATGCACAGCCACTTAACATAAAAAAATTTGACTTGCCATCAGCCATTGTCTGTAATATCTCCTAAGGCATTGCCTTTGGCACTGCACTGCTTCGTCATTAGCAATGTGATGTTACTTTCCATATTGCATGGGTGCTTTTAAACTTGTTTGTGCCATTAATGCTTTAAATTCATCAGATATGATATCAGGAGATCTAATCAAAGGATATCATGTGTTTTGCTTCTTACTTGAAGATCGCAGTGAAAATAAATTGCTGATCGGTCTTAAAGTAAATAAATACCAACATCAATACCTGGTACACTCGGGGGCAGATTGATGTTCCACCACTCCCTACCCATCGGGCTCCCATGGCTCAGCACTGGCTGCTGCCAGTGGCAGCACTGGCAGCACTGGCACTGGCAGACAGTGCTGAGCAGTGCTGAGGGCAGGCAACACTGGCAGCAGCCAGTGCTGAGCCATGGGAGCCCGATGGGTAGGGAGTGGTGGAACATCAATCTGCCCTCGAGTGTACCTAGCATAAGGAAGCGTCATGGACTGAAAGGGCCCAGAACAGTAGGTGGAACTATGGTCATGAGTACCCAAATATAGGAACGTTCCCATTTTTGGGAACGGAGTTCCCAAATATGGGAACGGGCGTTCCCATTTATGGGAACGGAAGGTAATTTTTCGGCCGTTCGCCCACTAAAACTCATAAGTGCATCACGTCTCAAAAAATTGCACGCTAATTTAAGTATCTACTAAGTCTCTATAAAATTATCTTTAATCTGACCGTTGCACAAGGAAATTGACCGTCGAATGATATTTTTAATGATTTTTTGAAATGACGGAATGGTGAAAACATGGGTTATTCTACATTTAACTTGCAATTTTAAGGAAAATGAAGCGTTTTTTACATTTTGAGGTCAAGTATAATAATTTTCGCCTGGTTATGAAGTTTCATACTAGCGACACCAGATGCTGACATATGCAAGCGAACACGCGGACAGTCCGGGGGTAATATTGGTGACATTTGGTGTCGGGGCGCACGACCGCATGGAACGTCAGTGATTTTACCGAACTACTGTTGTAAACTCAGTGTCAGTGGTTTAAAATTATTCAGCTGTATTTTATCATCCCAGAAAGACATATTTTATTTGGATGCTAGCTGTTTAGAGTTGTTTTATAAGGAGCGTCATGAGCGTGGTTTTTGTCTTCCGTGTTTCTAAGCGTGATCGTTTTGGGGGAATTTCTCTTATATAGGTCGCTCTGTGTGGCTTATTTATAATTTTTATGCTGATTTCGATCATTCCTCGTGCCCATCCTACCAGGCCTTTTGCCACTTACACTCATCAAGAAAAGAAAAAACTAGATTTTCATTGGGACTAGGTGTTTTGAGGGTGTAACATATTCAGCGTTCCCATTTTTGGATACTTCCTTGTGGTCGTCAACTATCGGTGATAAACAGACAGGTGCTTGACATGTCTCCACCCTCGGCGCGGACGGTGGATATAGGTATGGAAGACTTTGTTGAACATCGCTGAGCGTTGTACTTACGTAATCCTGCAGAGGGGGGCGTGCCCGCTGCGAGATCGACGGGAATAAAAGCGCAGAAGACCGGGCGAAACATGCGACGGTCTTGCCGGAAAGGTCATCTGATGATTGTTGCGTTAACAATAATTTGCGGCGTTGGACGTGATGCTTGTTAATGAAAAGAGCCCCTGAAAGGCGTCGGTGAAATCGTTCCCAATTTTGGGTACGCCGTTCCCATAATAAGGAACGCTTGCAGCGCCAGTGTACGAGAGCGTTCCCAAATTTGGGCTCGCGGCCCGGATGATGGACTGCTTTAGAAATAGGGGAACAATTTGAAACTACGATGGGCCTTACAATATCAAACTCTTTCCCAACAATATTGAGACAAATATCAGGCGGTTCACGATCGTTTTATATTTTTTGGACATCATTTAACGGTTCTTTTTCTTGTTTTAAATAATGCCTACATGGCTTTCCCATATTTGGGTTTATCGTTCCCAAACATGGGAACGAAAATGCGTTCCCGAAAATGGGTACGCTTGACCATAGTTCCGCCTACTGAGAAAGCTACCAGCCTGCTCTTGCTTCACAGCTCTCATAGGTGAAATTTACATGGGTGTACAATTCACCAATAATAAGCCAAGAACTCTACCAAGTAACTTCCCATTGCAAGAACACAGCAGGTCAATAACAATGTTGAATAGCACTCGTACAGCATACCATAACGATCAGTTAAGTGGGCAGGTGCAACCCCAAGTTACCATTCCTCTTAATTCAGAAATGCCTCAATAGCATAAGACAGATACAAACTGTACCTGGCCTATAGATTGGTCTCCTACCTAAAAACCAATTATTTACATAGCAAATAAAAGATTTTTTATTGCACAGGGAAAGACCATATCAATATTTATCAGCCTGTAGCTCTTGCATCAATAAAGAAGGCAGAAATGAAACTTTAAAGTATAAGATACAGAAACCCTTATTCATCCAAGTATTCAACTCACAGAAACAAGATAAATGAGCGTTATTACCTTTTAAAACGACTTAACTACCACGCTCACCAGCATATATTCACAACATAGCACAATACAATGTTGGCGCAGTTTCGAAACCGACGCAGCTAAGCTACCAAGTGGCAATGACGTTCGTGTAACTGTGCATATATTGATGTCTACTTTGATGTAGCAGCTGGGCCTAGTTATACCTTACCTTACCTTACCTTAATTTGATCGAAATTTAGAGGCCACTTGGCCTGTAGGGAACCGTTCTCATCGAGCTCTTGACATATTTGACCTTTCTAACTCCTATCAGGTATCTTGTACCTGATGTTTGCCCAGTGGGCATCCAGTCTTGATTTGAACTGCTCAATAGAAGCAGCGTCCACGACCGTTTGAGGCAAGCCGTTCCAATCATTGACGACCCTAACACTGAACGATTTCCTCCTTGATCTGGTGTCGGCTCTGGGCTTCTGGACCTTCTGCGAGTGACCTCGAGTTCGGCAGTCCGTGGCAGCAGTAAAGAAGTCTTCAGGAGCCAAGTCAACGCCTCCATGGAACAGCTGGTACATTTGAATCATGTCGCCTAGCCGCCGACGATAGAACAGTGAAGGCAGTTTCAGTGTTTGTAGGCGCTCTTCATAGGGAAGGTGTCTGATTGAGGTTACCAGGCGCGTTGCTCTCCTCTGGACTCGCTCAATTAACAGTTGATCAGCACGATTGAACGAGCCCCACATCACATTGCCGAATTCCAAGTGTGGGCGTACCAGTGTCTTGTACAACAGTGGAAGAGTTGACTTGTCGATGAGCTCGAACGATCGCCTGATGATTCCCAGGATCTGGTTGGCCTTCGCCGCAGCAGCAGCAGCCTGTTTGCGAAACTTCAGCGAAGAGTCCACGTGGACACCGAGATCGCGTTCAGCTTCAACCGCCTGCAATTCGACTCTTCCAATAGAATATTTGATCCGAGGGTTGTGGCGACCCAGGTACAGGATTTTGCATTTCCCCTCGTTGAATGGGAGCTGCCAGCGGTCGGACCATGCCACCAGAGCATCGATGTCGCCTTGGAGAGATGTCGTTGCCGTTGGGACTTGCACCAACTGCATGGGCGATGGTTGGGCAGAGTGGTATCTGCCATCTCCGTTAGGAGAGACAGCCACCTCTCCCTCCGCATCAGCCTCAGGCAGGGCACCGCCGGTGTTCCGACTATGCGCATCCTTCGCCGGTTGGGTATGTTGGGTGGGGTGGTCTCTGCCAGCTCTAGGAGCGACAGCCAACCCCTCAACTGTGGCGTGATACCGGGGTCGTGGTATCCCGTCCCCGGCGCCGATGTTAGAGACGGTACCTGGTCCGGGCTGTACCGGGCCCCGGGCTGTACCGGGCCCCGGGCTGTACCGGGCCTCACTGTCAGAGGCGGGACGACAGGGGGTCTGGGGACGGAAGGACCGGGTGGGCTCTCGCGCTGTGTGACTGGGAGTGTGCGGTGGCCCGTCTCGTGTGTGCAGTGGCCCGTTTCGCGCTATCGGACAAATACAAGCTATTTCGGCTTTACCATGGCCGGAGACGAGGTGCCATCAGTGTCCGCGAGTGCAGTGAGCGCGGGTGCCTTGGACGTCCGCGTGATAGCGGAGTTTGACGGCACCACAGACGTGGTAGAGTGGTGGACCCGCGCGGAACTGTTGTGCGCCCACCGTGGCGTGGACTTTGGAGCGGTGGTCCCCCTGCGTCTCACCGGTGGAGCCTTCGCCGTGTGGGCTCAGCTGCCGGTCGATCATCGAGCCTCCCTGGCAGCGGTCAAGTCTGCCCTCTTTGCGGCGTTCGCCCTGGACAGCTTCGCGGCTTACGATGCCTTCGTCACTCGTCGTCTTCAGCCGGGCGAGTCCGCCGACGTCTACCTGGCGGACCTGCGGCGGCTGGCTGAACTGTTCGGTGGCGTGCCGGACCGGACTCTGTCCTGTGCATTCGTGAACGGGCTGCCGGACGCGGCAAGACAGGTGATTCGCGCCGGCTCGCGCGCCGAGGCGTTGGACCTTCCCAGCGTGGTCGCGCGAGCGCGCGCCGTCCTCAGTGACGACCGCGTGGCAACGGTGGCGGCGGCGACGGCAGCGCCTCCACGCGGAGGGGGCGGAAGCCGCGGTGGAACGCAGGACGCGGAGGCGGTGATGGCGGCGCGCGTCCCGAGACGGCCGCGCTCGCGCCGGTGCTGGGCGTGCGGCCGGCTGGGCCACCTGGCGGCCGGCTGCCCGCAGGGAAACGGCACAGGGAGCGGTGCGTCAGCGCCAGCGCCGTCTCCTGCGCAATAAGAGGAGCGCTGCCCATAATCAGGTTGCCGCTGAATGGAGGACTCCGAGACGTGCTTGTCGACACGGGTTGTACGCATAACCTCGCTCACGTGGACATTTGTGATCAGTGGGACCGGCAGCGCTTGCTGATCACGACAATGGGTGGTCACGCTGTTCAGGCACTAGGCGTGGGAGTCGTGACGGTTGGCCGCGTCGGTGGCGACAGTGTCTTGCCTGTGCTAGTGGTGGCGTCGCGGCCAATGGGTGTGGACATGATTCTCGGAATGACGGGCATCTCCGCCCTCGGCGGAGTGAGCGTGAAAGGGCCGGGGGATGTGAGGATCGACGCGGTTTCAGAGAGGGTCCCAGTGCGCCCGGCGGGGATCAACAGAGCAGTGGCGCGCCCAGGTGGTGTCGCGGGGGTGGCAGTGCGCTCGGCCCCGGCTACGCAAGGACACGGCGGGGCAGTGGCGCAGCCAGGCGAGGCGCCGGCGGCGGCGCGTCCAGCCCGGGCGGCGCAGGTGATCGGCGGGACAGTGGAGCGCCCAGGCGCCGGCGAGGCAGCGGCGGCGGGCCCGGCCCGGGCGGCGCAGGTGATCGGCGGGACAGTGGCGCGCCCAGGCCGCGGTGGCGAGGCGGCGGCGGCCGGCCCGGCCCGGGCAGCGCAGGCGATCGGCTGTGCAGCGGCGCGCGCAGGCGGCGGCGAGGGAGCAACGGATCGCCCCGCTCAGGCAGGCCAAGTGACCGGCGGAACAGTGGCGCGTCCAGGCGGCGCCAAGGTGGCGGCGGTGGAGCCGGCCAGGGCAGCCTCGGCATCGCGCGGAGAGGGGGCGGGGCTTGGTAGCGCCGCAGCGACTGCGTCACAGGACCCGGCCGGCCCGGCGACCGGGCATACCATGCCCGGGCCCAGAGTGGGCGGGGCATCCACCGCAGAGCTAGTGGCCGACGCGAAAGACTTCACGGCGAGGTTCGATGTTAATACACGCAGTTGGACAGTGGCCTGGAAGTGGGCGGACGGAGTCGCACCAGACTGTCTGACCAACCGGGTCGCCGAGTACCGCGTGCCACCGTCAGCGCGGCAGGAGTATGACGAGGAGCTCGAGACGTGGCTGAGGAACGGCTGGCTGCAGCCCTACAATGAAGCAGAGGACGGTCCGCCGCGCGGCCTCGTGCCCTTGATGGCCGTCCCACAAGCAAAGAAGGTGCGCCCTGTACTGGACATGCGAGAGCTGAACGGTCACGTAGCTGCATACACCGCCGACTCGGACGTGTGCGCCGACCGCCTGCGGAAATGGCGCCGCCACGGCCGGCGGGTGGCCGTCGTAGATCTGCGGCGAGCGTACCTGCAGCTGCGTCTCGACCGGAAGCTGTGGCCGTATCAGACAGTGATCATCCGTGGTGAGCGATTCTGTTTGACCCGCCTTGGTTTTGGACTTAATGTAGCGCCGGCCGTGATGAAGGCGGTGGTGCGGCTCGTCATGGCGCAGGATGCAGCAGTGGAGCGCGCCGTCTGTCCGTATGTGGACGACCTGCTTGTGGATGAGGCTGTCGTCAGTGCTGAGCACGTGGTCGAGCACTTTGAGCGTTTTGGGCTCGAGTGCAAGCCACCGGCACGCGCCGAGGACGGCGCTCGGATGCTGGGACTCCACGTGCGGCGTGTGGCGGGTGAGCTGCGGTGGTCTCGTGACAGCGCTGTCCCCGACCCGCCCGACCGTGTGACGCGCCGATCGGTATTTGCATGGTGCGGCAGGCTGGTGGCGCACCTCCCCGTCTGCGGCTGGCTGCGACCCGCCGCCGCCTGGGTGAAACGGCGCGCCAATGCCGTCACGCGCGGCTGGGATGACGTCACGACCGACGCGCTCCTGCAGTCTCAGATCTCGCACGTGCACTCCCGGCTGCTAGCGGCGGACCCGGCGCGGGGCCAGTGGTGCTGGACCGGGGATCAGGCAATCGTCTGGACAGACGCCAGCTCGATCGCGGCTGGAGTGGTCATCGAGACACCGTGCGGTGGCGTGATGGAGGACGCCTGCTGGCTCCGGCCCGGCGATGCCGCAGCGACCCACATAAACATGGCCGAATTGGATGCCGCCGTTCGCGGCTTGAACCTGGCCGTGGCGTGGGGCGTGACAAACATCGACCTAAGGACAGACTCGGCGACAGTGCACCGCTGGGTGGACGACGCGCTCAGCGGCCGCGCCCGCCTCCGGACGAGAGCGGCCGGTGAGATGCTAATCAGACGCCGTGTCGACCTCATTCGACAGCTAGCCAACGAACTGGAGCTCAAGGTCACCGTCACGCTGGTTCGCTCGGAGAAGAACCTCGCCGACGCCCTGACGCGAGTGCCGAAGGAGTGGCTGCGTGACGAGTGTGAAGAGAGCAAGATGTCGGTGACGGCCGATGACGGAGCCGGCGACTCGGCCGCCCGTGGGCAGGTGGTCGTTGGTGCTGGTGCTGCAGATGCCGTCAGGTCGTCTGTGCAATCGGTGCACGAGCGGGCCGGTCACCCTGGCGTTCGTCGGACGCTGTTTTTCGCGCGGCGAGATGTGTCTCGAGATGTGACGAGGGCTCTGGTGCGCGCGGTCGTGACGACTTGTGATGTGTGCCGATCGATAGACCCGGCGCCTGTGCGGTGGCGGCACGGCTCGCTAGAGGTGGCGGCAGTATGGGAGCGCGTCGCGATGGACGTGACCCACCACCAGGGGCGGAGCTACCTAACCGTCATCGACTGCGGGCCCACGCGGTTCACCGTCTGGCGCCCGCTCGGCCGTGCCGACGCAGTGGAGGTCACCGACCACCTGGAACAGATCTTCCTTGAGCGCGGCGCGCCCAAAGAAATACTGGCGGACAATGACACGGTGTTTCGGGGCCGGCGACTCGCCTCGCTCGTGGCACGGTGGGGCATTGCCCTGAGATTCCGCGCCGTGCACGAGCCGGGCGGCAATGGCGTAGTGGAACGGTGCCATCGAACTGTTAAGGTGATCGCGGCTAGGAGGCGGTGCGCTGTGTCCGAGGCCGTCCACCTCTACAACGTCACTCCTCGTGACGGCCGGACGGCGGACACCGCGCCAGCGGCCGGGGTGTACCGCTACGCGGTGAGAGACTGCGTCCGCCCAGGGCATACGCCAGTCGATACCGACGGGGATGGCGCCCAGCCTGCGCCAGCGCTGACTCAGCCGACCGACACCCGGCTCCGGGTAGGGGACCGCGTGTGGGTGCGGCGCCGCGGCACCCGCTGTACCGAGACGTCTCAGCGCGGGACGGTTACGGGCGAGCTCTCAGAACAGGTGCTGGAGGTGGACGGCGTTCCGTGGCACGTCCGTAACCTGCGACCGCGGTACGAAGCGTCCTCGGACAGCGGGGATGACAGTGAAGAGGCCGACGAATCGCCGCCACTGCTCGTTGGCTCCCCGCCGGCCGCACTGCGAGCTGAACATGACGCGCTGAACGGGGCGGCGCCCCCCGATGAGCCACAGACTGAGTCACACGGGATAGATGGGACGGTGCCGCCTGGCGAGGGGTCGGAACCGTTTTCGACGGAAGGGGAGCCGGCGGAAGCGGCAAATATCCCCCCGCCCCGTCACAGTGAGCGTGCCCGGCGACCGCCGCCGCCGTGCAGCTGCTGCACCCAGCCGGAGTGATGACTCTTACGTGAGCGGTGAGCACATGTGCGTTTGATATTGTTTTGTTTGTTTGTATTGTTTGTATTATGTGTTTGTATTGCCGTATCGTGTGTTTGTATAATTGTATGTATGATTCTTGAAAATCAGGGGGAGGTGTGGCGTGATACCGGGGTCGTGGTATCCCGTCCCCGGCGCCGATGTTAGAGACGGTACCTGGTCCGGGCTGTACCGGGCCCCGGGCTGTACCGGGCCTCACTGTCAGAGGCGGGACGACAGGGGGTCTGGGGACGGAAGGACCGGGTGGGCTCTCGCGCTGTGTGACTGGGAGTGTGCGGTGGCCCGTCTCGTGTGTGCAGTGGCCCGTTTCGCGCTATCGGACAAATACATCAACCTCGGCGGCTTCTGAGGAGACTCTGTTTTGTATTTTCCGGTAGAGCTTCGTGTCGTCAGCAAACATCTTCACCGAGCAGTCGACCACAGAGGGGATGTCGTTCACAAACAGCAGGAACAGGAGGGGCCCCAGGACTGATCCTTGAGGGACCCCGCTCCTGACGGCAGCGGGTTCCGAGAGGCTTCCGTTCACGACTACTTCTTGCTTGCGTTCGGATAAGAATGCCTGGATCCACTGAAGAAGATTGCCTGAGATACCAGAGCACCTTAGTTTTTTTAGTAGACGCGTGTGAGGGACTGCGTCAAACGCCTTTCGGAAGTCCAGGTATGCCACGTCAACAGAGTCACCTTGTTCAAGTATGTTGGTCCATTCCTCCAGCACCTCGAGAAGCTGTGAGCTGCAGGACCTTCTGGGACGGAACCCGTGTTGGTGTCTAGACAGCTGGCCGGTGGAGGTCAGGAACTCAATCAGCTCGTCGCGCACCAGTGATTCCATGACTTTGCATGGGATGCATGTCAGGCTGATTGGCCTGTGTATCTGTGTGTTATCTGTGTAAGAATCTTGGGCCGCTTGCTTGGGCCTAGTAAAATGTAAAATATGAGTTTTATTTTCAAAAAAATTAAAGGACTTCATAATTTTTTGGATGATTGAGCACCTTTCTCGAGGTGAGGTAAATACAGGAAGCCATTTTTTATGACCCATGTTATCATTTTCTCAGGTTGGTGAATATTCACAAAATGATTCGCCCATATCTCGGATTGATCTCGGATGACATCATTAATTGCCAATGGGATTAATGTTCGTGAGCACGAATTCACTGTAGGCATCATATTTTCAATGACACTTTGGATAGGTATCACTTTTTAATGGTATCATTCAACCTATTTAGTGCAAACAAAATGAAGTGTGGTCGATTTCTTTCTCCAGGAAAAGTTGGCAGCAATTTCTAAAGGCAGTAACGACGCACAAATGACATTTCCGTGATTGTTTCTTGGAGTAGTGTAGGTAATTCAAATTGGTAATTGTTCCTAATTGTTCATTTATTTTTTAATTACAATTGCAGTATTTAAGCTTGCTCACTGACAAAGAAGTAAATTACACATATTTTACTTGGAAATGATAGATCTGAAATAAGTTTTGGTTGCGCTCAGTTTACATTCAATTGATCTGGAGGAGGTCGAGGAAAAGAATCACAGCCTGACTGGCTATTGATTATATATCCAACTTAAATTATTTTGTCTTCTCTCACTTCCATAAAAGCAAAAGGCAGTTTGGTAGGCTGCACTGATTTTAGCTTTGATGGGCGTGGTTTAATTTTGCATTGTATCCATGTTTTTTTGTGATAAGTGATAGCGACCTGCCCTAGCTCCAAGCAGTCCAAACTATTGAAGGGGTTTAGGGCCTGGTGCCTATTTTGATTTGCTGGCTCTGGCCATGCCATCCATTCATTCAAACATTGAGGTTAAAATTTAAAGAGAGATCATAGCTGAACCTTAATTTGAGAAATGTAGTAACGAAATGAGCCAATGAGGTAGGTACAGTATGTCTACAAAATAAGTCCCCGCTGTATGCGGTTCACCAGTGGGCAGTTAGCGCCTGAGCGCTACTCAGGCGCCTGCTGCCCGGGTACGGAGAGGACTTATTTTGTTGACCTACTGTACAGATAATAGCTAAATTACTGTAAGATATAAGCGCAGCTTTAGTTTGGCCCGGTACGATACATTCTAGAAATTCCCACTGGCCCTTATCTGAAGTTATATTGTTCAATTAGTTAATATAACTCAGGGTTAAGCAGTAGCAGCAGAACACCTTCAATTAAGTTGGGGCTGCCGACTTTTGGTCCCATTCTTTCCATGCAACGCCCATAGGGATGATGTTAGAATGCTTAGATCAAAGGGGGGCACAGTGCCCTGGTGCCCTCCCTATTCTGCCATCTATGGGCTTAAGAGAAAATGCTATTCATATCTGAATGTTAAATTTGTGTAGTTGAAAGGATATTGATGAGAACTTCAGAAGTAGGTACCTACACTAGGATATTACTTATGATGATAATGAATCAATATTGATCAATGATGATGAAATGGTGAAGCAGCATTTCCTAATTCATATGCATGCCAATCAGCTTTTTAGTGTGGAAATTGCATTGGCACCTGCTGAAACAGCATTGTGATATTTGACTTGTGCTCCTATTTTCTAATTGAGCTGAATTGATACAGAAGTGTTATTTTTATCTATTACACAGCTGAAGAATATCATTTTCCAGGCCAAAAGGCATTCAACAAACATGGCTCTACTTTGTGGCTTTAGGAGACTGCCCTGCTTGCAAAGTAAGTATTCTTATGTTGTTTATAAATACATATAGTTTGTTGTATGGTGGTATTAGGTATATGTGTTTTATGAATTCCATACAAAACAAGCAAATATTGTGTTGGAGGCTAATACTTTGTATATAATTTTTTAAACCTATGGATATTTATCTTTTTCTTTGAGTTTGCATTAATGAATTATTGAAGCACAAGTGATTTGTTCGGTACTTCAGTACCTATTTATGTATTATATTTCATTTTGTAATGCATCCATTCAGGTAACAATAGTTGTTATAGTTTTATCTTGAAGCTGCCTAAATCTTCTTTGAGTTTGCAATAATGAAGCACAAGCGATGTATTAGATACTTCAGTACCTGTTTGCATATTACATTTCATTCTGTAATGCATCCATCCATTCAGTTAACAGTAGTGTAATAGTTTTATCTTGAAGCTGCCTAAAACTTCTTCTTTGAGTTTGCATTAATGAAGCACAAGCGATTTATTAAATACTTCGGTACCTATTTGCATATTACATTTCATTCTGTAATGCATCCATTCAGTTAACAATAGTTGTAATAGTTTTATCTTGAAGCTACTTAAACAAAATGTGTGAACTACTGGGGATACATGTGTGATGAGTCGGTGCCCTTTCCCCACCTCGCCCCGCAGGGTCGGTGGTGCAGGTGACGGCGCCGTGGCTGTCGGCGCGCGCGGCGGCTCCCCTCAGTGTCAGTCGGCCGGCGCTCTCCTCCCAGCTGGCTGAGGACCACGTCAAACACTGGAACGCCGAGCGGCTGCTCACGGTCGGCCTGCTGGGCGTGCTGCCGGTCGCCTTCACCTTCCCCAGCCCGGCGCTCGACTACGCCGTGGCACTCTCGGTCGCCGTCCATAGCCACTGGTCAGTATGTGTCCCCAGGACTAGTAGCAGCCACTGGTCAGTATACGACGTCCCTAGGACTAGTAGCAGCCACTGGTCAGTGTGCGTCCCTAGGACTAGTAGCAGCCACTGGTCAGTATTTGGTCACTGGTGCAGGTAACGGTCGGGTCCGGAGGATAGACGGGTCATGTGTCTCCCAGTAGCACGTGTCTGTCGTGGTCTGTCTCTGATGTAAAGACAGTCTCAGTCAGTGCTGGAAATGAGGCCGCTTTCTGGTCCCGGCGTTTTATTCTCCGGGCGGGCTAATCGCGTCCAGCGTTTAGCCTTTCGGAACCCACTCAGGGTCGCAGCTGTTTTCGCCGCTCGCCCCAGTCGAGATGCTAAGTTAATAGTCACACGAAGCTTATTTAGGGCCAGCCAAACCAGCCTAGTCTGGAGTTACTGTTAAATGTATGCATATAGATGAAAGAAAAAGGTTTTGTAGAATCGATTAATTTCAAAGTTGTATATTAAGAGGCCCCAAATAAACTTCGTGTGACTATCAACTTTGTATTTCGAATGGGCCGAGTGGCGAAAACAACCGCGACCCTGAGTGGGTCCCGAAAGGCTAAGCGCTAGACGGGGCTAACCCAGCCGGAGAATAAAGCGCCGGGACCAGAAAGCGGCCTCATTTCCAGCACTCTCAGTGGTCAGTCGTGGTCTCCATATGTAGAGGTTTTTGTTTTGAAGTCATTTGAAGGGTAACGAAAGAACGGTTTTATCGGTGTTTTTATTCAGTTATGAATTATTTGCCGTGGCTGCTATACATTAAAACGTAGTTCGCTTCGTAACAGCACAGCCTCTGCGAACAAATGCTCCTCAACGTATTTTGTGCGCGAGACTTTTCACGGGTCATTCACAAACGTTTCTCGTTTATCGGTTAGTAGCGTGCAATAACGTCTTTGGAATAGCATTGATTGCGTCGATGTGCCTGTTCGTCGTCCGTAGTTGGGCGCCGTGTAATGTGTCATTGTGCCGACAGGGGCATGGAGGCCATCTTCGCCGACTACGCGCGGCCAAAGCGGGTCGGCGTGTTCCTCTCGAAGGCGGCCATCGGCGCCAACTACTTCATGTCGGCCTTCCTTCTCGGCGCCCTGTTCTACTTCAACTACACCGACGTCGGTGTCGTCGAGGCCGTCAAGATGCTGTGGCGGGCCTAGAGCGGCCCGGGCAGGGCCGGTGCGCTCCCGCGCGAGAGGCCAGGGGCGGGTGTCGCGCGGTCGGCGCCGCCCGAGCTTTACAATATGGCCGGCGGTTGCGATGCGGGTGGCTTTCTCAGCACAGCTGAGTGTATATACGGCGTCAGTGACTGTGCGAGCGGTAGGAGTGAGTTGAAAGCGTTGGTGACGGCGTAGTCTGACGGAAGTAGAGGCTACCCGTGTTATGTTGCTGCACTGTGACTCGTTTTGGCTGATTGGATGTAGGTGGATCGTATGTCAGTTGAACTGGCGTCTTGCGGAGACAAATGTGAGATGCGGGAAAACGAAATGAACGGTTAAGACCCTATCCTGTGGTGTTTATGGAGGGCGGTTGCGAAAGGCAGCATTAGACATGCCGTTGGTCAAGCTACTGTACTCACAGCTCTCACAGCCTGTACTAAACAACAGGCTATCACATGCTTTAGACAGGAGTGCCGGAAAAAGTACGTAGTCGTTCAGAAAATACAGCGTGCAAACTAGAACAAGCCCAGATGAACAAGCTACCAACGGTGTGTTCAATGGATCGGAGACGCGTAGCGACTTAAAGCCGAAAGAATGACGTAAATGAGTTTTCTTTTATCCAAATATCTTCGAACTGCAGAGTGCAATGGAATCAGACATGAGTTATCGATAAGCAAGCACGTAACTAAGTCAGTGCGACTGTGCGTCCACAGTCGCAAAAATGATGCCATCGGGCTGGTGGTTTCTAAAATAGATTATAGAATATTATAAAATAAGACATAGGTAGATGAACTCGTCGTTCCAAGAGACAATATATTTTCCCTTCTGGGACACTGTGACCCAACAGCCTGAACACGGAAAGCCATACTCATTGCTCAGTCCTCGTGTCAGGCAGGCCGCAGCACGTCATGAAAATAAGCGTGTTCTTGTTATGTCAGATATTATTTTTTATTTTGTTGTGTTAGGCCCTTTCGGTCTGAAGAGAGTCGAGACTATTGTCCATTTTAGGGCCGGAAGGATGCTGGGAATTGGGGGAGACATTGGTCTGGGCGAACACCCTGGTTGGTCGCCGGGGCTAAGCCCGTCCAGAAGACAGAGGCCGACCAGCCCCCCCCCCCCCCCCCAAGCACTCACCGCACCTGGGTACGGGCGTGCTCTTACGGGCGTTCCCGCATTAGATAAAGTTGCCCATTTAGCTCGGAGTATGGGAAAGAGGCGTGGAGGACTTGTCTGCCCTGAGGATGGATGAAACACCAAACAGGGAACGGAGGACGTCAGATAAGTTATCGAGTCGCACCTAACCATGTTCACTGAAGGTTCGTTCGTTTGGCAGTCATTTGGCCGGCCCTGATCAACCTCGGTCCGCAATTTTACAGACGAGTCCTACAGCTGGGTCGTTACGGTACAGGGACCCGCAGTTGCTTCTGTACACACTAGTATTTCAGCGTATTCTTTGCCTGTGACACCGTTGGAGGCGAATTGGGAAATGATTGTGTGCTTATTAAAACCACCATCTGAAGGGCTTTAAACTGATATGCTGCTCTCCTAATTCAGTGAACTTTTTATGGCTATATCAGCAAAACATTGTTTTCAGCGCTTTTTCCTGCCCCATTCCTTCTGAAACCTGGAACCGCTTATTCCGTTTACTCCTGCCATCTGACGATGGTCGTGCTGACTACTAGTTCCGGCGCTAGTTACTGCTCCAGTTTTGCACCCGGCACAAACTCAGGCGGCACCGGGCCGTGGCTCGACCAGGGGAGGGTCGGACCGAGCCGACTGCCTGGGGCGCGGTTAGATCGGACGCCCTGCTGGGGAAGGGGACGGGAGTGAGGGGGAGGGGAGGAGGTGGTCACGTGGTCCGTCCAAGCTCGCAGACGGCCTGTCCTGCGCCCAGCCATGTTCCGTGATCCAAAATGGCACGAGAGCTGTGGAATTCCTGGAGGAGACGCTTCGAAAGCGAACTTCAGCAGCACTAATTTACCATATTCTGTGGAGATAAATGAATATTATCTTAAAGGAAATAGTTCACTTTCACGAAATTATTTTTTTTTTGCAATGGATTTGTGATTTTTATGTTCAAAATGATCAGCAAAGAAACTAAAACCTTTTTACAACAAAAGATTATTTCCTATATTTTTAATATAGGAAGAACTTTTCAGTTTCTGTAAGGCACACGCGATCCAGTATGAAAAGAGCATGGGTCCCGAAAATTCTTCAGAAACTAGAGAAATTATCGCGGCCACCGGCATTTGGGCGATCTGCTCGGCGTATTTACAAATTGCAACCGAGCTCCGCCGTGGGGTAAGGTGGGCAGGGGTTTTTGCACTACGGCTGCGGTTGAACTACCGTCTGTGGTAGAAACTTCATGACGATGGCGCGTTTCATACGAAATCTGGCGCAATGTTTGTTTGCTTCTTTGTATTGTTATTGCTGTGAACTCTTGAAGTGGGAGTGCTTCAATAACAATTTGTGGATTATTTGAGTTTCTTTATATAAACATAGAATAGTATTATGAAACATTTTGTGGAAACTGCAAATACTGATATGATCAATTACTTAGTTTGGGAATTGATACACATTTTGTAGATATTTGTCTGGCAAATGGTGTAACAAACCTTAAGCCTATCATGATCTGAAGCTGTTGTAACAAATCAAAATTGCTTTGATGTTACATAGTACCTTGTTGGAAAGACTGGAGCATGGTTCAAGATGATGCATAAAAATTCAAGATTTGTGTGAAAGCTTGTGACTGAAGAACGAAAACAGTTTGATATGATGGCTCAATCAAACGTGGAAATGGACAACAAAAGTAGAGTTTCAACATTGCAGCATGTGAGAATAACTTCAGAAATTCATAGTTCTTGTAGTATTGCATTCTTCTTATGTACAGTTATAGGTTTTGTTAGGGTATTTCAAATTCATTGTGTCAGTTGAGATATAGATGGATTGCGAAAAAAATTAAGAATCATTGCATGGTAGCTAGGTACTTGTTCGGTAAAAAGGTATGTGATGAATGCTATGAGAAGGTTTTTTATGACTTAATATATGGTCGTTGTTGTACCTACAAAAATGCAAGCTTACTAGCAACTAGTTTCTGAATCAAATTGAAAGTATTAATTGCCATGAATGTAAATATGTACCTACCTGCAAAGTATGTCAATAAATTTGTGTGATGTTGACCAGAGAGTTTTATCATCTGGGCATTTATGTCGCTTCTTACACTAGGTGTTAAGCATAGTAACTACGGATGAACTTTGTGCCAATATCTTCAAATTGCACAATGTATGTGGCATGTCTACAACCCTCACTGATCCTGCTATAGCTATAGGCATTTGGCACCAGCTTGACCAAGGGCATGAACTTCACAGTTGCACAACCTTTTGTCATGTACCACCAGTCACTTTTTTACTTAAAGGGACCATCCCACCTTAACATTAGTTTTGAGTTGAGATAGCCAAGTTTGCGGCCAGGCTCAGAAACCACCATTTATCCTGGTCGCAACCCCCGCAGCTTTATGGTGTTCAAGAAATTTCTTCCCTTTACTTGCAGGGTGGGACCAGCTTAGTCCCTATCTCTTAACCATTAGCGGTTTTTTGATGACGTCAGCAGTCATTTCAACGCCCGCCATTCCTTGAACCCGAGTTTTGCTGACCTTGAGCTCCCTTTCTTATCAACGTGAAATCCGTCGTCGGCGATGAGAAAGCCTATTGCTTTTCATTTTAATTTGAATATTAGAAGATACCCACCACTGGAACTTGGACTGATATTATACCAAGGCCGAAGATGATCAAGCTGCCTGCTATATCTGGAGCTTGGTGTTCAACTTCAACATGGAATAAAAAACAAAATATCAAAGCAAACTGGATATGGTACTGCAAGTTAAAGTCCAAAGAAATTTGAAGAGCTGACAATTGACATTAATTCTTTTCCCGCAAGGTTTCCATAGGAGATCACACCATGAAGAAATATTTTTGATGTTAACAGTTGAAAGGGGATTGATCTTCCAGTTTTGACGAAAGACGCTGCTGACTGTCTTTGGAAAAGGATGTCGGCATGAGGTGCAATTGTGCTTGTGAAGTGGTTATAACTGGACTTTTCACAGTATTAAATTAAATGTGCCATTGCAGCCAAGTGTGTTATCATGTAAGGTAAAATCAAAACTACAATGTTGGTTTTACGAGCATTGAGAAGGCTGGTAGGTAACACCTGCCTGTGCTCGTAAATCATGCTGCCAGAGTATTCTAAATTAATTTTATCATACAATTTTGTTGTCCAGAATGGTTGCACTATTGTTTGGTATCATATTATTCCATGTAAATATGGTAGTGTAAAGTCCGACCAACATGTTACCAGATTTGAAGCTGTTACGTTACCTAAGTACCTGTTTTTTACTGGCGTGGTGAATGTCACCTGGATTTTGTTTTGAGGTGCAGACCTAGTAACTCTGACTACATGGGTTTGAAGCTATTATCTATTCTGTTTTTACTGGCCTGGTGAATGGCGACTGATGTTGTCCGTGGATGGCACTGAAACAAATTTTGAGTGTTTTGTGCAGTGTTTTAATACAATGCTGAGGGCTGAAAGTTGTCTTGTTTAGAGTGGTGAAAGTTCAGGATATGCCAGCCACCATGGTGGGTCAGAGTTAAATGTGTTGCAGTCAGTTCGGCTTCGGCAAGCACACGGATGGGCATACGCATCAAGACCTGCTCTGCCATACTTTCAGCCAATTTTACCTAGGTAAGTCTTTTCTTTTTTCTGCCAAAAGCTATGACATTGTGAATTTCAGCACTGTGGCCTGTGTGTAGCTTTCAGGAAAGCAATTCTAAATAAAGCTCTGATAAAGTGCAAAATCAGCAATGCAGCCCTCTATTACATTTTCTACAACATCTTACTTGTTCCTTGCATGGAGAGAAAAATGCAATGTTATGAATTCGTTTATTCACATAATTTGACAAGCATGCAGTTACCTGCTACTATCACTGCACAAAACAGAGCAGAAAACATGAGTTGATCAAACACAAGACATAACAGAAGTTTACAACATAGGGCTGCCGAACCTGCTTCCTCCCACCACAGTTGATGCCATTTCCTAGCCTGGCTTGATGTGAGCACTGAATAGCTGCTTTGTCTAATTACAGCTCACTACCATTCAACTTAAACTACTCTCTTTAAAGTAAGAGTGAGAGCGTTCAGTGTTCATAGCAGCTCGACAGACGACAGACAACAAACATCTTGACAAACCAACCAGTATTTGATTTGGCTAATGATTTATGTGCTTGTTGTATCATGGCCAAACTACTTTAACAGCAATAATCCCTGTTTCATCTTGATCTTGCTTTTATTTCC